AAGTTTGTTGAAGCATGCCCATGCCATCTTTGGGGTAAAGACAGGTGATACTAACCAACTTCTCTAAGGAACAATAGTAGCGGTACCTTGGAGTGTCCTCTGCATATGAGGACTGAGCACTCATGGCAATGCTTAATGCTTAGTGCAAATATGTCGAATGTGATATAACATAACATAACTTCTACTGCTGCCTAACTGTAAGTATTTTTAATTATATTCAATGTCGAAATATCTATGAAGCTGGTTCTCAGACCAGCAGAAGGTTGCTTAACTGTCTCCACCTTCTTCTCAAACTAGATTTAGTATCATATACCAGACAATACTGCACTGAGGGACTGCATTCGCTTTTGTTATGAACACCCACCCCTTGCACTTGCACGAGAATCGTCATGAATGAGTTGTTGAAGTTGATATACTGCAGCTCCTGCTGGCCAATTCCTGCACTCGCAGTTGAATGTGATTAGAACCCTACATATTACTGATTGTTGTCTGGACACTTTGATCATGACCTACTTTGGATCTAGGTCATGTTTTGATCTACATCTTTCCTTGCACTATATGTGCGTTTTTAGATTCTTTTGTAAAATTGTGTGCTGGAGTGTTTTTAAAGTGCATGTAAATATGATCGTTGCTAAGTTGTTAGTTGTCAATAAATACTCCAAAAGACTAACTCTGGTTACCTCTGTATGCATAAGTTTACTGTTCGAAAGGATAACGACGGATGGAATCAATATTTTATTTCGGCCTTATAGCCCATGCCAGTTTAACTCGCACACACACACATACACTCTAACACGCACACACATAGAGAAAAGAAAGACGAAAAAAAAGAAAGAAAGGAAGACAGACAGACAGACAGACAGAAAGACACTGACAGACAGACCGGAAAGGAAGACAGAAAGAAAGGAAAGGATGACAGAAAGAAAGGAAAGGAAGACGGGAAGGAAGACGGAAGGAAGACGGGAAGGAAGACGGGAAGGAAGACGGGAAGGAAGGCTGAAGGGAAGTCGGGAAGGAAGAAGGGAAGACATAAAGACGTAAAGATGGGTAGAAGGGAAGACATAAAGACGTAAAGATGGGAAGAAGGGAAGAAAGAAAGAAAGAAAGATAGACAGACAGACAGACAGACAGACAGACAGACAGACAGACAGACAGACAGACAGACAGACAGACAGACAGACAGACAGACAGACAGACAGACAGACAGACAGACAGACAGACAGACAGACAGACAGACAGTGAGTAAGTGAGTGAGAAAGAAAGTGAGTGAGTGAGAAAGAAAGTGAGTGAGTGAGAAAGAAAGTGAGTGAGTGAGAAAGAAAGAAAGAAAGTGAGTGAGTGAGAAAGAAAGAAAGTGAGTGAGTGAGAAAGAAAGAAAGTGAGTGAGAAATAGAAAGAAAGTGAGTGAGAAAGAGAGAGAAAGTTAGTGTGAGAAAGAGAGAGAAAGTGAGTGAGAGAAAGAGAGAGAGAGAGAAAGTGAGAGAGAGAAAGAGAAAGAGAAAGTGAGTGAGAGAAAGAGAGAGAAAGTGAGTGAGAGAAAGAGAGAGAGAGAAAGTGAGTGAGAGAAAGTGAGTGAGAGAAAGAGAGAGAAAGTGAGTGAGAGAAAGAGAGAGAAAGTGAGTGAGAGAAAGAGAGAGAAAGTGAGTGAGAGAAAGAGAGAGAAAGTGAGTGAGAGAAAGAGAGAGAAAGTGAGTGAGAGAAAGAGAGAGAAAGTGAGTGAGAGAAAGAGAGAGAGAAAGTGAGTGAGAGAAAGAGAGAGAAAGTGAGTGAGAGAAAGAGAGAGAAAATGAGTGAGAGAAAGAGAGAGAAAGTGAGTGAGAGAAAGAGAGAGAAAGTGAGTGAGAGAAAGAGAGAGAAAGTGAGTGAGAGAAAGAGAGAGAAAGTGAGTGAGAGAAAGAGAGAGAAAGTGAGTGAGAGAAAGAGAGAGAAAGTGAGTGAGAGAAATAGAGAGAAAGTTAGTGAGAGAGAGAGAAAGCTGAGTTAGAGAAAGAGAGATAAAGTGAGTGAGAGAGAGAGAGAAAGTGAGTGAGAGAGAGAGAAAGTGAGAAAGTAAGCGAAAATCCAGCCTAGCTGTGGAATCTAACGCATGGCGACAGTTCAGTCTTGATGGCTTGCTACCCTATGCCGAGACTAATTCTATAACAAAACGTTTTCTTTGGCAGATCCACTACAACAATCCGTTTCTGGTAGATAACTACATAGATTCCAGTGGACTGCGTCTCTACTATCGACCTGCAAAGACTGGGGTTCAAGACCTGGCCATTTTTATTACAGGCCAGTTATATCTGGAGATACCACCCGGTAGACTATCTGTTTTTTGATTGTATTATCTTTGTGGTTGATTTGTTTATAAATGTGTGTGACCCCACCCGCTCCTCCCCCTCCACAAAAAAGGAATGTAATATAAACTATACAATATAACTTACCTTCGGGGCTGTTAGTTATTGGCACAGGTAGATGGCAGTGGAGGAGGAGAGGAAGGAGAGTCCCATTCCATTATAAACAATGGGAAATTGTGTCATGGGAAGTTATTCGATTGCTGGCTCGGCGACTAACAATAGTTTTGCAATTACTTCTAACACTTGAGACCTTTGCTTTTGTTAACATGTTTGCCCCTTTAGACACACCAGCCATCCTTAGCATACAAAAAGAGAAATTTTTTCCCCCTATTACTTAAGTTTGTTTCCTCTTCCTGTGATTGTTTTCTGATTTAAAAAAAACAGACGAGTTCTTACGATAACACTGATAGACTGGATAGTTCTTTTCATCTCGAAGAATGTTACGGCATTCCCCTCCTGTTCGCATTTTGCCCCTTTCTAGGCAAATATATCCACAGTTTCATTTCCTGGTATGCCACAGTGGGGCGGCACCCACTATAGTGCAGTAAACTTTTGGGCAGCCGCCATGCCAACTTTAGATCTGAGGTGAGGGAGTTTACCACTCTTGAGAGCTTGCAGCACCGATAGCGCATCTGTGATGATGACTACTTGGTGGCTTTCAGAACTGGTCTTGTGTAACATTTCAGTAGACTGCTCTAGTGTTAGGATCTCTGCTGTATAGTTGGAATATAATAGATATATACTTTGAATGGCAATGTTTGTCTGGATATGTGATAAAGATGCAGCACCTCCATTTTTAAGGGCACTAGTTGCTGATCTATCTGTGAAAGCATGGATCTACGACTGTGCAGGGTAGGTTTCCTGGATCATTCTTAGAGCAGCTGATCTTTTCTAAATGCCATCTCCACCTATGAGTCCAGTGACTGGAGTAATTAGCTTAACGTGACGCTGATTTATCCTATGGTACATAGTATAAGGCAGGTTTTAGCGATGTTGTTCTCATGCGTCGGTCTGCTTGATATTGACTTCTAGTCTTCACCCGATAAAGATGATTAGGTTAGTTCGACGTTAGTCTCCCCAGACCCCACCCATATACACACTAGCTCACTTCTGATTGGCAGTTCCTGAGCCCCGTGGCCTTCGCACACGGTTACGGGGGTGTTCAGCAGTGCCGTTGATTTCTCGTGCTGTATATTTCAGCGCTTTTAATACTAAAAAAACATGGAGAAACTGAGTCTAACACAACTTCCCTAGAGGGTGCTGCAACATGTGTCACGGGCATTCTCTTTCTCTGATTGAAAACGTAAATGCAAGGTATCGCAGGAACCAAACAACAGAACAGGACACATCCGTAACCTTCAGACACACCTGTAACCTTTAGGAAAGTCGACCAGCCCAACAAACTTGTGAATGAAAAGTGACCTACCCTATTTGTGGGAGACTCACGTCGAACTAACCGATGATTACACTTTCAGTTTTTTTTAATGCACATAAGTAATTGTCTTTAATTGTTTATTATTATTAATACTCTGAATTGCATGCATAAATGGGGGGGGGGGGGGGCACTTCACGATCATGGTGGCTGCATGTAAGCTGTGTATGTCAAGCGACCATTTCATTTCCACCAGTGGTTGGGAAGCCGCCGTTGTGTGGCTGCTAGACTCTTGCCTGCAGATCCGAAGGTCGTGGGTTTAAGCTGGCTCCAAGGTCGATGCAGCCTTAAATGTGTACCCGGCATAGTCGGTAAGGGCAGCCGGCGTTATGTTGACCACATCACTGATACAAATATGTGTCTAGTCTCATAAGCCAGATGCGTTGCTAACGGGTAAATGGACCAATCTTTGCTTAACTTTTTTTTTTTATAATTGTAGTTGCAATGTGTAAAGTGAATTAAATATGCCAAATTTTTGAAAAAAAAAATTTCAATTCATTAATTTGTGTATGTATTTTAATTTAAAGCTCATTTAAACAAAAATTTATTATACCTATACGGAGGGTGTAATTGCTTTTTTATTTCACAAGGACAAAGTACAGTTGAGCACGTTGGACTGTGTCCTTCCGAGTGTACCAGGGATGTGATTGCTCAGCCGGTCAAGGTCATCAGTGCTACGAATCACATGCACTATATGGGTCAGTGGGAGTTGATAGATCAGTTGTAGCTTCGTGTCCTCGTTATTGTCGGCATTAGCAAGCGATTCATCATTCGTGATTTTAACACACAAATTGAAAAAGTCATGAAACTTGAAAATGGTGATTATATGTTCTGTTTTCACAGAGACACTCCCGTTTTTCTTTAATATGTCCCGAGCGTCCCGCTTGAAAAAAAAAAGCCTAAATTGTCCCGTTTTATTTTTAGAAAAATCTAGGAATAAGCTCATGAACAGAACATGCACTAATAGTCACATATGTAGACATTTTTTGAGTTTCATAGTTTTAGATACTTTTAATGTCTGAAGTGTGATGATTATAATTGTAATAGTAGCACTTTTATATTTTGTTTCATTTATTTCTGGTGTCATTGAATCGGGTTTTAATACCACTGTCGAGCGAGATATGAACCTGTTCACCCTTGTAACCTAGAAATAAAGGGTGGAGAGAAGAGGGGTGGGGAAAAAAGGTGTGGGGGTAAACTGCTTGTGATGTCCCGTTTTCATCTCGAACTATTAAGGGGATGACGGTTTTCAACTAAAGAATTATAGAGACAGTCTATGTGACGCAAGATGTCTTTCAGAAATTAGAGCAATAATGGTCACTGCAGTGAGAGGGAAAAAACAAAGAATCAAATGCTATATTTCTTCTTCTTCTTCTTTTTCGTGTTCACCATCTGTAAACTGGCAAAAGTTGTTTTTGTTCATTCCATTTCTGGACTGCAGTCCTTTTCTAGGACCTGAGTGTTGCGTTGCATCCATTTTACAGATCTGATTTGTATGCAGACTGCTGGTTCCTGGCCTCTCAGGCAGATGCACTCCAACTTTAAAAGAAGCTCCCAATTAGTCAACTCCTACAATATACTTGTGGGTAGGCATTGGGTCTATTCTTGTTTTCCATATAACAGGGCCCCAGAACCCACACGGGGAAAATGCTGTACATGATCTGGATTGTTTAATGCATGTAAGAAACTGACAATAAACAAAGGGGTGAAAAAAATTTATTTGCAGCAGAGGGGTATGTTTTTCCCAGACGAATTCCCAGAATATGGATGGACAGAAGAAACAAAAAAGCGGCAATCCTCTTCGAGGCAGATGAGGGTTGTAAACTGATTACAGACATTGAGCTTAGGCAGTGGGTGTTTCTCATATAGGTTATAAGATGTACTGGATCCCAGAACATGACAACACATATCACGTTTGATGGAAAGAAAGCAAAGGGAAGGCAAAGAGACAATTACCATGGATGTGGACGAACAAGACCTGTTATTATGGGGATTGCATGAGATGGCGACACATTGACGGTCAACGCTTATCATTAAGGCAGATGATGAGAATGACAATAAATATCAATCATTAACAATACTATCTTCATCACTAAGTACCTTGGTGGACCATACTTTGAAATATCACCACATCATGCTAATCCCTAACCGAATACAGTAGAACCGCCTCAGCACGAATTCCAGTCGACAGAAAAGTCTAAAGTTCGTGTTAAAACGTTTCCGCTAACAGACAGATGTGTAATGAATAATACATCCATGCTGGGACCTGGTTTATCATGTTACCTATGTGTTTGTCTAAAGCGAATTAGTCTTAACAAAGTTTTGCTGTATGCCAGTTCTTGTGTTGACACCTTTACCATGCCCAGGACAACAGGCTGTCAAAAATATTCCTTAATGTTTTGTCTCTGTCCCCTTTCCAACATTATTTCTACTTGTAACATGCTTCTCAACTCCATAATCTTCGTCACAGTCAAACCACATCCACGTTTTGTAATGGATTTCCATAGTGAGAGAGATAGATGGATGGGTTGGTTGGTCTTTGTCAGGGGCTAAAACACTGACATATCAATTATTATGTAGACATGTGGACAGGAAACGACGTAGGTACATGGTGTATTTGTGTCTGTGTGCTTGCGTGTGTGTGTTCTTGTGTGTGTGTGTGCTTGCGTCTGTGTGTGTGTGTGTGTGTGTGTGTGTGTGTGTGTGTGCAACAAGACTTATGATTGAGTGGGCTTTTCACTTGTATACATAATCAGTTCAGATTTTTTTGTCTGTTTATGAGACAAACATATATTATATTGAATGTGTTTGCTAGTTTGTTGAACTAACAGTTATAACATTTAATGTGTTCCTAATAGTTTGTTGAACTAACACTTAATACATTTAACGTATTCTTGCTAGTTTTTTTTTTTTTTTAACTAACAATTATTACACCTAATGTGTGTTGGTTTATTGAATGACAATTTTCAAATTTAATGTTTTCTTGCTAGTTTATGATTATTACATTTAGTGAGTTTTTGCTAGTTTGTTGAACTTACAATTATCGTATTGAATGTTTTTATTATGCCCTTCTCTGCCAGGTAAAACCATGAAAATAGAGGTTTTCCGAAGTGGAACAAACATTAAAGAGTTAACCAACGATCAACACTACAGCTACGACTCTCCAGTCGACCATACGTAAGCCAAAACATGTGTTTTGTCATATTCAAAAAGTTAGCGTGTATACATTTTAACTTTTCATTATGTAGCATCTTTTGAAACTACTTATCCTGTACATGTAGTATAAATTATCTTAAAACAGAGTGATCGTTTGTGGGCCTAGTACAACACACACACACACACACTTCTGGGTGTTCAGCCATATTCGGGCTTAAGTCCTGTTACATATCTGTTTCATAGATCTGCCTTATTTGTATGCTGACTCGCAGGCAGAGGCACTCCAACTTTGAAGGAAGCGCCCAATTAGTCGACATTTACGTCAGGTTTGCTGAGAAGGCAGTGGGTCTATTTCTCCCTCCCCCCCCCCACCCCAAAAAAAAAAAACAAGATCCGGGAACTCATACGAAGTGATGGAGGACAGGGTAGGGGAAGGACGAGGGTCTCATCTCATCTGATTCCTCTTGTATATTGCGGTGTCGAGGTCAAGTATAGACATACCATGAAGAGACTGGCTTGGCTTGATTAGTAAAAGAATCGCTATGTTCAACCAGCATCGCCAGAGAGGGAGCTTTAGGTTTAAATTGTGACCAGGTTGTGTGCGCCATAAAAGATTGACTAACATTGCTCGCCTTCAGGAAGCTTTAAAAAGAACTTTTGCACTGGTGATGCAATCAAAGGAGACAGATCTTTAATACTGTCAGACGAGCTAGTCAATGGGCGGCCTGGTTCCGATTGATTAGTCAATATGATACCAGCAAAGGAAATAAAACTAGTTAGCTTTATTAATATCACCATCACAAATGATAAATGAACGTTGCGGCTAGAAAGCCTTCATCAGTATATATCATGAATAGACAGGTATAAACACAAATGCATATAATTACTTGAATAAGGTCTCTGCGAATAAAATATCAGTGTATGGCTGGTAGAACCTCTAAGACACGTGAGATACAGCAGGGAAAGAATACTATCTCGACAAAGGTGTTTGCGAAAAGGGCCGTGCTTATTATATATATGTATATATATATATATATATATATATATATATATATATATATATATATATATATATATACACTTATATTATAAAAAGCTGCAGTGTGTAAAATGCGAACGTGCCCTTTTGCGTGCTTTGTGTGTAGGGTTTCCAATGGACTCATTATTCCCTCTTTCCGTTATTATTGTGATCGGCAGCTCTTCCGATTCAAAGTTGATCTCGACGTTTTTGTTTGAACTATGTGTTTTGTTTTTTCGTGAATAGAAAAATCTAGATTTGCTTTTAACAGCGCTTTCTTTCGGATCACATTACGTCTGTTTTTCTTTCTTTTCGAGTGTTTTTTTTTTTTTTTTTTTTTTTTTAGAAATGTCATCTAAAAAAAAAAAAAAAGTCTGAAATGTTAACAAAGTGCTGGTAAGTCTTACAGTTTCTGCCATAAGTCGGGGATAGCCGTGACGATTTACAGCTTTCTGTCTCGTGTTTGTACAAACATTTCTGACACACATGAACTTCAATGCCAAGTTGTCAAACTTCCTAGCATTATCTCTCTCGGTCAACTTCTCTTTAAATCACCACTGATTATTGGAATCATGAAAGCTGAGAGAATGTCAGAGGATAGATAGGTAAAACCACGAGGCAGACCAAGAAGACAATGAAGATAAATATCCAGAGAGTTCTACAAACACTTGGTGTTACCAGCTGAAAAGAAAAGGTCAACGAGAGAGATGAATGGAGGCGGCTGATATCTGCAGCAATGAACCACAAGGGCTCGGAATGCTGAAAAAGAAGAAAATATATTTTTTTTCCTAATTAATAATACTTCGGATTTTCTCTTTTTCAAACGAAGATCTGTGTTTTCAATTTCTGTTGCAAATGTGTCCACCATTTAACCTAGTTTTCTGCCTTGACAATTTTAATGTTAGATATAGTACATTGTTAACATTATGCTCAACAAGCGATATATCTGCCTTACTTTGTATCGATCTCGTTTTTTGTTTCGCTGTACACATTGAATAATTCGAGTGATAGTATATATCCAAGCCTAAGACATTGTTTAATGTTTGGAAAAGTTCCCAGCGTTGAAAAGAAGACGGCGTTAAAGATGCCTGATTATATTTATTTGTATACAGTTGTTTCTCAGTACAGTATTTCGGCCATTTGTCCAAAAGGTGTTTTTGAACAGTTACTGTTCACCTTGTAGTTTTTCCACCGATCTCCTAGTGGATATCATGTTTCCTAAGTACTTGATATTGGAATTCTTTGGTTGTATTTTTTTTTTTTTTGGATTCAAAGTGGTAGTAGACTTAACATTAAACCTTGGCCAACATTTACACCTCCCCCCCCCCCCACATATGCTCTCGTGCCCACACACGCACACATGCGAGCGCAATTTTCTGCACATACATAACACACACACACACATCACATACGCATAAAACACACTCTGTAAATAAATAATCAAATATAATTATACAGTGCTTGTTTTAAACGAATTTTTAGAAAAAGGCAAAATGCATCATTTCCTTTAGAATGAGACAGCTGACAGAGTATTCATCGACACCTAGGTGCAAAATGGTAGTGCCTATTGTGCTTTAAATGTAGATTCAACGCCTTCAGCTTATCGCCCCCTTCCTCTCATCAGTTTCTATTTGGCCTGCAGGACGCTTTAGCGTCAACCTCGTCTTCAGATTTCCTGTTAGTAAAAAAGACAAGATTAGCTTTTATAACACCAGGGAATTTGTGGAGGTCAACAGAAATTAAAAATAATAGTAAACGTACAATTTTTAGTTTTAAGGCCACATCAGTACTGTTGTATGGAGCGGAAACATAGAGAATAACGTAGTCAGTTACTACTAAACTAGGAAAATTTATTAATTGGTGCCATTGCAGAAAAGAGGGAATTAAATTGTATGATATAATCCACTTTCTGAAGCAAGCGATCAATTCTTTTCGTGCTCAATATCTTTCACATCTTTATAACTGTTTTTTTTTTTTTTTTTGGGTAAAGTGTTTTCATCATGTGTCTATGAAACATCTCCGCTGCTTACCCTAATCGGCAAAATGTCCATGATACACTTCCCTGTGTCATGGTAGGATTTATACAACACTTGAGAATTCTCTTTCTTACTTAAAATGACAAAGACAGATTTCATATAACATTTTTTCATAGAATATACGTATGTATTTGTGTGTAAAATATATATATATATATATATATATATATATATATATATATATATATATATATATGTGTGTGTGTGTGTGTGTGTGTGTGCGTGCGCGCATATAAGTGACATGACTAAACATGTTACCTTGAAGCTTGAAGCATAAGGTTAAATTTTATATTATCCTTTTTTTTTTCGAACAGTCACTGTCTGTTTCTTGATATGAATGCAACTGTCTTTTCACATGCTACCATTGTAATGTTAAGCATGTAGCAAATCTATTGGGTTTTTAAACCATATCGATGCTCTGCTATCTTTGTAATCGTCGGCCCCACGTGGGATGCAATTTTTCGTTATTTGAAACCCCACCCTGGCTTTAGTCGGGGAACCTGAATTTAGCCGGGCCATAAATATGGCCTAACGGCTGAAATGAATTTCTGGGACCTCTCACCCTGTGATCCTAATCCGCATGGTGGCACTTTGCGTCACTGGGTGTTTATCGCTTGTGTGATGTCCTGGTCGGTTACAACAAGAAATAGGGAGAGAGGAGAGAGAGAGAGAGAGAGAGAGAGAGAGAGAGAGAGAGAGAGAGAGAGAACGAACGAACGAACGAACGAACAAACTTTATTTTCAAAGGGTTAAGAATTGGGCACGCAGGCCCGTCTAACATTCTGCCCTTCCACTCTGCTCCTTTCATACAATGTTTCATTTTTACCTCAGTTCATAGTTAATAGTAATAATAATAATTGATAATAATAATAATTAATAAAAAGAGAAATGCACAATTAAAAATTTGAGAAATATAGAAAAGAAACAAAAGAACAAAAAAGAGAAGAAAAAAAAAAAAACAATATCTAAGTCTTAATTACAAATGCTGGAATGTGCTCTAATTTATACTGACATTACTTGAAAGTTTGAAAGAGTATAATAATAAACCTATTCAAAAAATGTAAGTCTTACAGGTTGCATAATATAAACATCATCAAAACCAATTAAATATTAGTTACAAATATTGGAATGCATTCGACTGACATCTTCAGTTTTAACAATAATAAGCTTCAGTTTTCAACCTTCACATCTTCAGTTTTAACAATAATAAGCTTCAGTTTTCAACCACCACCAAGTTCCCCAACCCCCCCCCCCCCCCCCAAACCGTTAATAAGAAATACATCAAAGCCTTAACATACTATAATCTTTTTAGGGAGGCATATAGTCTGTAGTGAAATAATAATCAAATAGTTTTCGATTGTATCTAAAGGGGTTATTGATATTTTTTATTTCCGGTGGAAGATTATTCCACAGCTGAGCAGCAGAGTACGCTAAGCTTGTTTTATATAGGTCTATTCTAGGTTTAGAGATATGCAATATGTTAAGGCGTTTGCTATGTCTTCCATTGTATTTAAATAATGGCCAAAGGTAACATGGAACATTTTTAGATATGATTTTCTTAATAAGTTTAGCTTTATTGAATAGTAGGCGTTCCCGGAGCGGTAATAGCATGAGTTCTTTATATAGGTGCGAACAGTCACTTTCATGACTATTAGCTATTAAACGAACAGCCCTTCTGTGCAGTGCTTTCAGCCGTTTGATGACTGAATTTGCACATCCATCCCATATTGTGGAGCAATAGTCTATGTGGGTCTGAATATGAGAAGTATAGAATAATTTCCTAGAGTTTTCATCCAGAAAGTTTCTAATTTTTGCTAGTTGGTATAACCTTTGTAGCAGTTTGCTTAACAAGTGTTTGCACATGGGAGTTGAAGGTAAGATTTCCATCGATGATCAGACCTAAAGTTTTGTGCTCAGTTACACTTTCTACTGGTGTGTTACCTAGGTAGAGTTGAAGGGTTCTATGAGAGTTTAAAGTGCACAGTTTTTGTCTTGTTGTTATTACATAGATTTTGTCTTACTTATGTTGATTTGCATGCGGTTTGCATAGCTCCAACTAACTACATTGTTTAATTCTTGTTGCAAAGACAACTCTAGTATATTACAAGTTCGAGCATTTGAATGGATGGTACAGTCATCCGCGAATAAATCGCACGACGACGACAGACTTAAGGGCAGATCGTTTATGTAAATTGCAAATAGAAGGGGGCCAAGAATAGAACCCTGAGGAACTCCAGAATTTAAAGTAGTAGTCTGTGATATAGATTTATTATGTGAAACAACTTGTTTTCTGTTTAATAAAAAAGATGTTAGCATTGTTAATAGGTTGGAACTCACTTTCATTGTTACCAGCTTTCGGATAAGAATAGTGTGGTCTATCATGTCAAAGGCCTTTTTGAAGTCTATAAACACTGCACCACATATCTTATCTTCGTTAATATTCTGATGCCAGTTTTCTATCGTATTTGTTAAGGCAGTATGGCAAGAATATTTTGGTCGAAACCCTGACTGGTTGTCAA